GCTTATCTTATCACTTTTATGATTTTTAGGGTTTTTCACTATTTTGTTTGTTGTATGATTACCCTATGCTAATGCATCAATACAAATGCAACAAACGAATGCACACACAATTCATACATCCATGAGCAGAGCCACGCTTATTTAATCACGAGGTAGGTTTTTCCTGCAGAAACATGCTTGGTTTAGGTGGTTCTAAACTGTTCTCACCAAGGCCAAAGGTCCCCAACGTGCCCCCATTATAGGGACCTCTCAATCTCTCAGTCCTCGGGTCATGCACGCAACTCCGTGGCGACATCCTTAGACCAAAAGAAGAGAGTTATCACCTTGAGTTGGTGGTTTCCGACAACGGTTGTAGCCCCGTGTGCCAACAAGCCGGTCGTATCTGCCACCCACTCCCTATAGGTATTCACTCTTGCCCCCGGGTATAGAGGGACTGTTGTGTGCAAGGGTTTTTGTGTGCAATTTATATTTCAAACAATTTGCAGAAAATAATCATACAACAATTATTAAAGCCATACAATAAAACATACGGAAGAGGGTAAAGGCGTAATTTCAAATCTTTACTTAGTTTGAATTTATCCGTCACTAAATGGGATCAACTCTCTAGCTTCCCCAGTGGAGTCGCCATCTGTCGTCGCCGTCCGTTCCGACGTCTAGGGACATCTCGAACGTTCATGCGAGCGGTCGCGAAAAGATGGTTTAGACTCGTGTTTTATGTTTAAAATATGTTCATTGCTTCCGAGGTGCTCAACAACTGAACTATCCTCTAATAAAAGCAAGGTTTTCGAAAAGGGGTTCTTTTGGAGTCGCCACCAATGTTTTGAGCATAAACATTGGAAAAGGATAAAAAGGCGTTGATTTTATTAAAAACCAAACTTGGCCATTATAACCAGAGTTAGGTAAGGGAGTTAGTTACGTGTGGGGAAAGTGTTAGCACCCCACAACGCCCCTTTCGGGTTCCCTATGACGGATTAATTCGTTAAGTGAAGATTATAAGAAATTACGCTATTACCCTATTTTATTCATACAACATTTAAATATGGCTATCTACATGATTTTATTTACATTTCATATATAAAGCAATAAATAAAGCAGTAAAAGAGAAGAGATTTGAAAAGAACCTCCGTAACAAGCTTTATATTACAACTCTTTTACAATAAGGACGCGTTTCACCAATCCCTCGCTCTACAACGACTCTCCTCACGAATACAGACTCGACTCGACTAAAATTTTATAGAAGAATCGAATGCCAGAATATAATTCCTTAACTGATTGTTACCTATTTAAGGCAATCAGAAAGATCATTCGAAGTAGGGAGAGAAGAAGACAAGTCTTGGGAGTTGTCTGGTGTGTGAAACAGTGGCAAATGAGCTTCCAATTTATAGTTTTCGCTGCCTGCATATTTGGGATGGTCGTCTGGGTTGGGACGGCCGTCCCAACTGCATGATTTGCAAAGGCTGGGACCCCCTGGGAAGCTGGGACTGGCAGTCCCACTTGGGACGGTCGTCTCAACCTGTTTTGGCCAGCTTTTGCGTTTTGGGACCCCCGGGAAGCTTTCCTTTCTGTATTCAGACATCGTTTGATGCTGATAAACGCCCATCAAAGCTTTATCTTCATATAGGAAGTCTTCTTGGCCTTTATTGAGATGCCAGGCGAGCTTTGTCTTTGTTGTAGGAAGTCTCTTTTAGCCTTTATTGAGAGACCGGCCAAAATTAGGGGTCTACAAGACATGTCATTTGTTAGGTTCATCTTTAGTATCTTGGCATTCTAAGAAATAAGCATGTGTTGCTTTATCCACCACTGAAGCTGAATATATTGCAGCTGGTAATTGTTGTGCTCAAATTTTGTGGATGAAACAATAGCTAGAAGATTATAGTATATTTCTAAATGACATTCCCTTGATGTGTGATAATACAAATGCAATCAATCTTACTAAGAATCCAGTAATGCACTCTAGGACTAAACATATAGAAATTAGACATCATTTCTTGAGAGATCATATAAGCAAAGGAAACTGTAAAATTGAGTATGTTGATACAAAGCACAAATTAGCAGATATTTTTACTAAGCCTCTTCCCAAGGATAGGTTTTATGATCTTAGAAGAGACTTAGGGATATTAGAAATAGCTTAAAATCTGCTTAATTGATCAATCTTTGCATTTTGTATTGTATTGTTTATTCAATAAGAAATGTGTATTTTTGCTTTGTTTAAGGGGGAGTTATCTCCAAGTTATGCATATGTTGAGGGAGAGCTCTTATGATTGATATAGGGGGAGCTTTCAATTTTTGATTATAATCAAAATAGGGGGAGAAATATTTAAAGCCTCTTATGATTGAATTTAAATATTATCTGGTATGTTTAATGTGTTTGTTAGTATGACAGATAAAACAGGTTATTACAAGGCTTTAAAAGAAAATTTTGATCATCATCAAAAAGGGGGAGATTGTTGAACATTCAAGGACTTGATGTTGAACTTACATGGACATGAAGCTTGTTGATTTTGATGATGATTCAAGAACAAAGAACTTAGAGAGTTGAAGACTTGTTTTATTGTGTAATAACTCTGTTTTGATTAGTTTGAGTCTGTAATATTAGAGTTTAAGATAGCCGATACATAGTCTGCACTTTAGAAGCTTCAAAAACTCACATTTATCAGTTTGCCTCGGGTTTAATCGATTAAATGGTCAGATAATCGATTATTACAATGAGAAAAATAATTTTCTGTCACTGTTCACTATAATAATCGATTAACACACCTGTTAATCGATTAACAGGCCTGTTAATCGATTAACAGGCCTGTTAATCGATTAACAGGGCTTTTAATCGATTAAAAAGAGAGTTTTGGGGTTCTGATGATTTTGGCTCTGTAATAATCGATTAACACTTCATTTTATCGATTATTTCAGTCAGATTTTGATTTTCAACTTCAAATTAAACCTATTTTCGAAAACCCTAATCCCAATACTCTCTAGTTCCGAAAATCCCAATTCCCAAACCCTAATTTCTCTACTTAAGGTTCTCTAAGGCTCTCAGAAAATAGAACAACCTTTTTCAAACAAAAGTTAAGTATTGTGAGTGTCAGAGAACTGTTTGTTGGAGGAAAAAGGGGCTTTTGGAACCTGGTGTGGGCTAGAAGCGATAAGAATCCCTAAGTGGAGTTCTTAGTGGATTGTGTGTTGTGCCATCTCTGGGGAAAATTGTTCTTCATCTCTTGTGGGTTTCAAGAGAGGTGTTTTCTTTACTTTGTATTTTCAATTGTTATCTGTTTGTAACAACTTTGATTATAGTGACAGCGTTAATCCTCTGTTTGAGTGATTAGCAACTGGACGTAGGGTCTTTTGATCCGAACCAGTATAAATCTCCTGTGTAAGACTCTATCTCTATCTTATTTACGTTTACACAACTTTTTAATCGGTAAAATTTGGGGAAAATTTTTAAAACCTAATTTTTGTTAAGAAACCAATTCACCCCGCTCTTGATTTTTGTCCGACCACGCGAACATTCCGCTGCACGATTCTAACAGTTCCTCTTAATGAATTAGTTCTTCTCATTGGGACAAAAGATACTTCTATTGTTCCTGATTTGTATTCAGTTATTGTGTATACTTCCACTGGTTCTGGAGGTTCTAGTTCTAGTAGGTCTTCTAACTTCCAACTAAGACCACTAGATATTTCAATATGTTTTAGCGTTTTTGATATTATTGCATTAACCTTTTCGGGATTTACTAGTAGCATAGTAGTTTCGTCTTTTGGGGACATTAATAAGGCTCTCGGAACTAATTGAGTTTTCATTATTTTATTATAATAGATTCTATAAATTATGGCTAGGGGTATTGACTTTGGATTTCATACGTTTTCTGGTATTTTTATAAAGACTTTTAAGGACTCTTGAATAATTTGGGTAATTGTTTATATATACTGGTCTGCTATGAAAGTTTGTTTGGAACATAGCTAAAATTTGGTTTCAAGTTTTACTAGTGTGCTGTCTCTTAAAGCTAAGAACATGAGAGTATTTATTCCTTTCCTGAAGGGGTTTTATTGCTATTTGGATAGATTCTACATGAAGATATCTATACTCTTTTATATATTTAGTTACTAGATTTTTATTTATTTGTGGTATTTTTTCATGACTTGATTGTAATTCAATTTTTTTATTTACTGTTTTTACTATGTATTCTAATTTAAACATATCTTTCCAATTTGTTTTATAAATGATGGATATTTCGAGTTTTCAAATGGTCTATTTATTAAGTTGGTTTTCTATTCCTAAAATGATTAATTTATGTTGTATTATATTCATATTGCTATTTTCTTCTTCCGTATTTCTATTTTCTTATGACTTTTTTTTCTTTAGAAAGTAGCTTTATTAAATATATATATATATATATATATATATATATATATATTGATTATAAAATTTAGAAAGTAGCTTTAGAAAGTAGCTTTAGAAAGTAGCTTTATTAAATTTATTATTGATTATAAAATTTTCTTTAGTAATAACTCATTAAAAGCCAAATTTTGCTTTAAAAATTTTATTAAAAAATATGGAAAGCTATTTAAAAAAACATTTTATCATATTAAATATTTATTATATATAAATAATAATTTGTTTACATAAAAAAAATTCTCGATTTCATTAATAAAAAAATTAAATATTCACTCTATATATATAATAAAAATCTTCTAACATATTCAAATAAACTACATATTCAAATAAACTACAGCGTATATGAATTTTAATAAAATTATTTAGAATAAACATATTTTAAATTAATAACCCTTGATAAAAATTCGTTATTTTATAATTTATCTAATAATAAATTTTTATATTTATTTATTTTCCGTAAATTATGTTTTATTGTTATTTTGATGTAAACAAAACAATCCAATCATAACATAAGAAAAGATAAAGGTTCTTCCGTACTTCCACACCCATGTCTTCTTTATTGTTTACTAGAATGTCTCTGTCTTTCAGACTAGACTGAACAACAAACATAGAGATGTCCTTGAAAACATTAGCAACCTCTCCACTTTCGGGGATCACTGTTTTGGTCGTTTTGCTCGCTTTCCTTCTCAGATTTTACATCAAATTCGACACTGCTGAGGTTACTATGCAACCCCTCAAATAGATTAGATTCTGGGTTTTGAAATTTTTGTGGCGTTTGTTCAATTGGGTCATAAAAGATCCCACTTTTTTTTTTCAATTTTTAATTAATTTTTAGTATTGTATAGATGATGAAGTCAACGATTTTGATATGCGGTTTATTTTGTAGAGATTGTTCAGTGATGAAGAGCTTGCACTGTTCAACGGAACTGACGAGGGGTTGCCAATCCTCCTAGGAATTCTTGGGTATTATAGCTCTCAATTCATTGAATGAGATAGTTTGAAATTGTAACATTTCTTTAGAATGTTAAGGCTTATATATGAATACTTTTTATTATTTTTGATAGATCTGTGTTTGATGTAACCAAGGGAAAATCTCATTATGGGTCAGGAGGTGGCTACAATCATTTTGCTGGAAGGTATTTTCTGAAACCCTTTTCTAATGCAAACATTTGTGTTGTTGTTGTGCTTGGAATCATGCGAAATATTTACATTTCAACACTTATTAACAGCAATTTGTTCTTTAATTTCTGTTTTTTTTTTAATCTTTTTTGGCATGAATTCAGGGATGCTTCTCGTGCATTTGTCTCTGGAAATTTCACAGGTAATGAGTTGTGTGGGTTGTTCAGGTTGGTGTTTCTTAATGTGAGTTGGGGACACTCAACCACGACCGATGAGATCTATTTTTTCTCTATTGTGAGATGAGAGAATTTGTAAAGATGTTCTGTACACGTGGGGGAAATAATGTTGATTTCACTTAAAAATTATTCCAAAATAACTTATATTGAGTAATTTCTGGTATTCACTTTCTTTCATTTGGTTTTGGTTTGGAAAGCCTGCTCATATATGCGTATTTCACAGTTCTGCAATTTATTTCTTTCAAATTTATATGATGTTGTACACAAAATGGATTGCATATCTCATGTTCTCAATTCTTTTAATTGCAGTTGAAATAGTTTGGTATTAGAATAAATATCCTAGATAACTAAATGGATAAAATGTGTGCTTGAAAAATATGGCCATTCTTGAATTTTAATCAGAGTTCTGAATTTACTTGATTGTGAACCTCCCCAACTTCATCATTCTAGAAATCATGCCAAATGATCATCCTTTAGGTATGTTTGTATCATATCATGCATTGTATTTATATTTTGCCAACCTTACGAGTCATCTACATCTGTTCACCGTAAAAAGGATCGACTATGTCTGGTTTTGATAGTAAAGAGAATTTTTATTGATGACAAAGAAGGTCGTGGATCAATAAGTACGTGTAATCCTTTGAAATTGAGAGTGAGAAAATATAAGAGAAAAATTAGCAAAAACAAAATTTGTCTGTGTTGCTGTTTGTTTTCAGAAAAAGAAAATCTTTAATCATTCTTGCAGTCTTTTAACTCTACATTTCATTTTTCTTTCTCTTATGTAGGAGATGGTCTCACTGACTCTTTGCGCGGTCTATCTAGCACCGAGGTTGTAATTAATGAGATTTGTTCAGTTCTTGTTTTGTTTTCTTCGAGATTTCAATACAAGCCTAATCATACAAATTGGTTTGCTCTTCTTGTCTCCTCCTTTAATTTATAGCTTCTTCTTCATCTTTTTCTTTTTGTTGTGAACTTGCATACCTTTGTTTGTCTAAAATATTCATATAACATTTTGTTTCCAAGCCTAAGCCTTAATCCTAAATTAAATGGTTCATGCAGGTGAAGAGTATTGTTGAATGGAGGGATTTCTACCATAAATCTTATAAGTAAGTCATATTTTCTGAAATCTGTTATTTTGCTTTGGCTAATTTTAAATGGTTTTCATTGGAAAATGATTGACTAACTTTTAATTGGTTTTCATTGGAAAATGATTGACTAACTTTAAATAGTCTGTTATCATGCTCCTATATTTTTCCAAATTGATGATTGACTACTTTAAGTCCTACAATGTGTGTTAGACTTGGAGAATATTGACATAACTTTTCATATTGTGTAGGTTTTAATCGCTTTCTTAAGAAGGATATTATAAGAACCACTAACCAGTAGTGTATTCTGAATATGTTTTTGCACTGGTTTACTTGCTAATTCATTTTGGAATATATTGTTCAGCATCTACAGTGTTGACTGTGTAGTAGGTCTTTTGTCCAGTTTTTGATGATCAATTATGCTAACATTTGGAACTAAAGAAGCCAAAATTTTGAGACTATATGTTGTCTGTGTTTTTGTGTTGATGAATGTTGTTGGAACTTAATGAATGAGCACCTACTTTGGGAAGGATTTAAGTGTGTGTTCTGGTCGGCTAAAAAATTAGATTATTTCAATAGATCAATCAATAGATTATCAATGGATGCTTGTTATAATTAATTAACATTAATTATGATTAGAATAAGCATAATTGGGGTTGAAGCCGATAGTCTTTTCAGAAGGGTTTCCCTTGCATATGTTTAGCAACCAGGGTAGCTGGGATTTGAATTTTTCTCATCACGTTTGGTCTATGTTTTAGTAGTATCTCTTATTCTATAATGTTCTTCTTTTATCATAATCAACCTTTCTTTATAATAAAAAAAGAGAAAAACAATAACCTAATTATTTGGTCTTGAGTTAGTGATATTACTAGATACACATTAGAAGGTGGACTTCCTTATTTTCCGCATAAAGGATTAAAAGGGATAAAGAGAAATGATTATTTTAGAAGGAGAAGAGCCTACCTCAGAAATACTATGTAGAATATTATCTTGCAAGGTATAATATAACTTAGTTTGTGATTATATTATACTATATAATCCTCCTCAAATTGGCTCGCTTCCGATTAGGATAGTATAGTCTTAAAATTGGACTCTTGGAATTTTTCTTGCAAATCCTTCTTCTATATTCTAAATCAACAAAAATCATGATAGTAGACCTCCAACGAAGAAGGTTCAAATAAGAGAAATGATATGTGGGGCAATAGGGGAATAAATAACAATGAATTGGCACTGTTGTTGGGGAGGGGGGGGGGGAGGGAACTATTGGTAATTTTGGAATTAGGAGTTCTCTAGGTCTCTCGAATGCCCGGGCATACAATTGGATTGTTTTCCTTGTCCCTGTTTGAGCACCCCACTAATACAAGAGTTAGGGATTGAGGGTTCACTTTAGTAACACTTACTATTCTTCTTTGGGTCTAGTCCAGTTCTATTAAATCATCAACTATTCCTCCTTAATAAATTTATTTGGCTGTCCAAAAATTTCTCTAGATCTATGGGATTACAATATGCAATGGGATTATGTCAGGGACTTGTTCGTTACATGCTAGTTTGGTGCTTATTTGTGTCTTATGTGAATAGTATGCACTAAGGCAGCTGCTATTTTCATGTGGAACTATTTGTTTGGACCTTTTGGTGAGCACTAGCTGTGTCCTTCTACATTAGAACAATTTCTTATGTTTTTGCATGAAGGCATTGCCAAAAGAGTGAAAAACACTTTCTAGCAATATGCAGTTTATTCAATTCTTTGGTGCCTTTAGTTAGAGCTTGTTAGAATTTATGTAACTAGGGATATTATGAGCTGTATCCATAATATATAATTATCATAATGCATTCCATGTCATCTTTGACCGGTGGCTGCGCAACCACCACCTCAAGTATCCCATCCCCCTAGTCTAAATCAAGATGTAATTCTGTTTTCTCAATTATCCATTCAGATATTTGGGGTCCAAGTCATGACTCATCTTTTGGGTTTAAGTATTTTGTTACATTTATTGATGAATATTCCATCTTTACCTCCTTTTTGAATGAAGTTAAAAATCGATTTGGTAAGGTGATTAAAATTCTCAAAAGTGATAATGCCAAAGAGTACTTCTCTTCTAATTTCTTTGCACTTTTAAGTTCACATGGCATTTTACATCAGCCTACTTATCCTTACACTCCTCAGCAAAATAGTATTTTTGAAAGAAAAAATAAACACTTGGTTAAAACTGGTCGTACCTTATTAATTGGTGCTCACATACGTGTCTATTATTGGGGTATTATTGGGGAGATGCTATCCTAACTGCTTGTTTTCTTATTAATAGAATGTCATCCTCCTCTCTTAGTAATAAGATTCCATATTCCATTCTTTTCCCAAATGACCCTCTCTTTCCATGTTTCTCCTCGTGTGTTTAGTTGTGTCTATTTTCTTCATGACACGTCTCTTGAATTAGATAAATTATCTGTCGTGCTGTTAAAAGTATATTTTTGGGCTATTTTAGGCTTCAAAAAGGATATGTTATTCTCCTGAAATCAAGAAGTACTACATATTTGTCAATGTCACATTCTTTGCATAGAATCCTTATGTTTCTTCATCTGTTCTAGATATCCCTTTCATCCAAGAGATCTTACCTATACCCACCACAATTGAGTCCATTGTTCCTAGTGCGTGTAACAATGTCCAACTAATTCTGAACCATCATCTCCTCTCACACCTAGCCCCATGCTCCAAGATCATTTCTCTTCAAGTTCTTCTCAATCAACAATCCATACCACACGACTCCTGATGCTGATGATTCAGCCTGACCCATTGCCATCAGAAAAGATACTTGTTCTGCACGTAAACCTCATCTTATTTATAATTGTTTGAGTTATCATAGGGTGTCTCCTTTCTATTGTTCTTTTCTATCTTCAGTATATTCTATTTCTATTCCAAAAAATGTGACTGAAGCACTCAATCATTCTGAATGACGACAAACTATGATTGTTGAAATGCAAGCTCTTGACCAGAATCACACATGGGAGTTAGTCCTTCTTCCACCTGGGAAAAGGTCAGTTAGATGTCGATGGGTTTATGCCATTAAAGTTGGGCCCAGTGAGATTGATCGTCTCAAGGCATGATTAGTTGCATAAGGGTACATACAAATTTATGGTCTTGACTACAGTGATACTTTTTCACGAGTTGCCAAAATGACTATTATTCGTCTTTTCTTTCCCATGGCCGCTATTTGTTATATGTCTCTTTATCAGCTGGATATTAAAAATGCATTTCTTCACGGTGATTTAAAGGAAGAAGTGTACATGGAGCAACCTCCTGTTTTGGTTGCTCAGAGGGAGTCCGGATTGGTGTATAAGTTACATCGTTCTCTCCATGGTCTCAAACAATCACCACATGCTTAGTTAGTTTGGGAAGTTTAGCCACATTGTTCAAACTTTTGGGCTGAAGTGAAGCTGATCATTCAGTTTTTTATTGTCACACTTCCCTTGAGAAATGAGTTTACTTGATTGTATATATTGATGATATCGTGATTATAGGAAATGATGTTACTAGAATATCTCAACTAATAAAACACTTGTGTAATCACTTTCAAACTAAGGATCTTGGAAGTCTAAAATATTTCTTGGGGATTGAAGTAGCTCAGTCAAAAGAAGGAGTTGTTATCTCTCAAAGAGAGTATGCCTAAGATATTTTAAAGGAGATAGGCATGGTTGACTATAGACCAGTAACATGGACCCAAATCAAAAGCTAATGACAGAACACGGTGAATTGTTCTCTGATCCAGAAATGTATAAAAGACTAGTTGGGAAACTTATTTACCTTACTATCACTAGACCTGGTCTATCTTTTGCAGTAGGTGTTGTAAGTCAGTTTATGCAAGCTCCTTGTACTAACCATTGAAATGCTATCATTCGAATTCTAAGGTACCTCAAAAAGGCCCTACGACAAGGTCTACTGTACGAAGATAAAGGAGATTCCAAAATCTTTGGATATTGTGATGTTGATTGGGCAGGATCTCCCACTGACAAGCGTTCTACTATATGATATTGTGTTTTCTTTGGAGGAAATATTTTCTTGGAAAAGTAAGAAACAAAATGTAGTATAGCCCGATCCATTGCAAAAGCTGAATATCGGGCAATGACTTCTCTTGTGAACTTATATGGGTGAAACAATTCCTTCAAAAAGAACTCAACTTCTATAACATCAAGACAATGAAGATGTATTTCATGAGAGAACTAAGCATATAGAGATTGACTGTCATTTTATTGGGAAGAAGTTGTTGTCAAAAGAGTTATGTACGGCGTATGTTGCTTCTAATGATCAACTTACATATGTTCTAACCAAATCCTTAAGGGGACCCTAGATTGAATTTTGTTGTTCCAAACTTGAAATATACAATTTGTATGCTCCAACAGGAGGGGGAGTGTTAAAATTACTGTATTTAGGTGACTATTAGAAGTATTACAGGTGACTATTAGAATTAATACAGATTGGTAGTAGTTGAAGTTAAATGTAATTTATGAGTTGTACCTATTTGAATCGATATATATGGGATCATGAAACTGGTATGATTAATCCCTCGAAAAGTACTTTTCTCTTTTTGATATGAAGGATTATTACTAATGAATTTTTTATATGCTTGATATATTATAAAAATATTATTTTATTAAATCCGGTTAGATTTCAATTGAATCTTTAAATCCTGTACTCGTGCCTTCACCAATTAAGGGGTCGGTCCAATTTTAAGAACATTGATTTGTATCACACATCATGTTATTTTAGTGCTTACCGGATTTCTTTTGTCCTTATTTTTATAGGTATGTTGGCAAGCTAGTAGGCCGATACTATGATAGCCAAGGGAATCCTTCTAAATATTTGAAAGCGGTAGAAGCTAAGGCTGCGAGAGGTGCACAGCTTCTAGAAAAGCAGAAGATTGAAGAGGCTAAACAACCTTCATGCAATTCAAGATGGAGTCAAGACGAGGGTGGTGAGGTATGCTCTATTGTCATTATATGTAATCAGTTTTTCTATATTTTGTTTGCCCTAATAACAATTGCAAAAATGATATATGAAGTGATTGCCGGTGATCATGGTTTTCTTATTATGTTTTCATTTCTTGGAGATAAGATTATCCTGTTACTACTTGAATTAGCAACTTGAAATGACGTGGGAAACAAATGAATATGACAGTAAACTACACGGAATAAGTTGAAATTTTATGCAGAAATCACATGGAATTGGTAAATGTGATTAGCTTTGATTACATAAGATTAAAGTTAAATGTGGTCTTAATTAAAAATGTAGTAAATTATATGTTAAATTGGTAAGAATAAGACTAAGGAAGCACTTCGCCAAAGTTTAGCGTGGTGAAATTTATTGTTCACTATGTTCAAAGAAATTAAAGTTTTGATTACTGCATGTTTCTCTACAAAATTAATTTTACTTCATACATAACCTAATTTCTCAAAGCTATCTTTATTCGCTTCTCCAAATTTGATTATTACATGCATAAAAAAAATGGAATTAATAATTTATATTAGTTTTTCTTCTCCTACAGGTTTTTCCAAACATTTTCAAAATGAATTGAGCTTCTCACAAAACTAGAACTAACCTTTGTGCTTAACTTTTATACAAGATCTTTTCTTTTAATTTATTCAAAAGCTAAGGTACATAAGTTAATATTTATGGAGAAATTTATACAAATAGGCTAAAACTTGTATGGATAACTGACTTGCTTACGCATTAGACAAAGACAAGTTTGTTGCAACTGAAATTGTCTGCAATCTTGTTTTCTAATTAACACTTCACCACCATAGCCATGTTAATGCAGATTGTTTACAAGTTATAATGACATATATTTTCCTACTTTGATCAGGTATGGTGTGATGTTGGTTACCCTAGATTGGTTGAGAGACCACTAGAGATTGCTTTGGCAGGGAAGATGAGCAAGCGTTGTGCATGCTTTAAAGATTCTCAGTTGGACCAGCCTGGTTTAGTGGTTTATGAAGGTTGTGAATACCATGCCACCAGGTGCGAAGTTTAATCAAGAATTTAACATTTTTTTGAGCAATATGAATGTATATTAAAAGCTTAATTTAGTGAAACTGGGAATTATTTTTTTTAACTTGTTACTTGTATTTTGAGGGTTGGATTATGCTATTTTTAGTTTTGGAATAATCACTCTTCGTTAATAGTTAAATTTAAGACTTGTGCTATTTGCCTGCACAAAAAAATATTATGCAATCTCCTATGTTAATATTTAACGTATTTCTAGAAAATTAGATATTTCTTTACTGAAACAAATAAATATAATTAAACTCGTGTTTGGAATCATTGAAATGAGATATTTATTTTTATTAAATTTGAATTAATGTGGAAAACTTCTCATGTTGGATTTTATTGAAAAAAAGAGTTATGATTTGACATCCAATTTTATGCGCAAGAATGAGGAAGATAATAATTAAAGATGACCTAAATGTATGAATTTAGTAATATTGCATTATTATGGTATGTAACACGTTTATAAGTCTTATTTTCATCTAAACTTCAATTTCTTTGTTTGTAGAAATAATCAAGATTGGATTGCACTTTCCTTTTATTATATAGAGAGAGATAGAGATGACTTCTTACACCCCTTTTTACTTGTTTATATATATTTTTTTAAATCTCATTTTTCGACCTTTTTCATATACATTTGTTTCCCACGCCTACCTTCCATAGTTTAAGACAATTATTTTGAATGTAAGTACATTTTCTTTGTAGGTGAATCCTTCTCCTTCAATAGATTCAATTGAGAGATTATTTTCAACCATGAAAATATTGAAAAATAGGCTCAGCGACTAGAAAGAAATTATTTTTAAACTATTTGTTTAATTACATACGATGAAAAAAATGAAAATTTTTATACTTTTATTATTTTACAAGGAAATTATTACCTAGAGTTCAAATTATTTTTTAGTGGATAAAATATAAATAGTTTAGTAAAATGGTAATGTCAACATTGGGATATGCTAAATCAAGTTAAAGAGGCTTTCTCAATATTAGGAATGGTATATTTCAAAATATAAAAGTTATTTGTTGGATTATTTTCAGAATTTAATCTATAAAAGATATTGCATTTTAATTTTAAAATATATTATTCTCTTAATAATTAAATAACTATTATTTTAAGCAATGGAAAAACTTTACAGGTGGATTTTCTTTTTCGATTTAGCAGTGTTCGTAGTTCAGCTCGTTGAAGTTTATCACAACCCTGTAAAGTTCATCAACTTCTTCAAAGGAGTTGGATACAACTTGATTATTAGAACATTTGGTGGCAACCTAGGATAGGATAAAATTCTTCATTGACTACAATATCTTATGGTTTAGATAAATCAAACTTGTTATTATCAGACATGAATAAGACTACATTAATATCTAGTCCCAAGATACATATTGAAGAGGTTCAATAACAAACTAATGTTATCTCACAACCCTACCAAATAACGAAGATCAACTTCGTGTTGCCCTTCTGTTTTACAGGAAAAAGTTTATTAAGACCACCAATAATATCGTAACGATCTTAAGACTTGCGTGAGGATTTGTAAATCCTTGTCTGAAAACTCAAAAGCTCGACAAAGCAAATAAAAGATGATACATTTAACTAGTTACCTTTGTTCAAAGCATCTAAATCCCCATCTAAACATGAATTCGAATATTAGACAACAAGAACAAAGGATAAACCCCAAGAGTCTCATATACCCTTCTTGCCAAACTAAATGAGTAGCCGAATCACAAGCACCAACTAAAGTAGAAAAGCTGCCGCATTGTAAAGCACACATAACTAAATATGTGTAATCTTCGAGAGGCGTATATGAACACCATTCGTGGCTAACATAATGGAAGATCCACTCCTATGCAATGGAAGTCACCAACAATCGACTTATACAATGACACTACAGATCTTGAGGAACATTTCCGACCTTACCTAATATTTTGTGGTACTCTCGGACAAGATTTCTTTAAATGTAGACTTTCTCCCTATCACGCTCAGGAGTGTTACACTACAATAGTACTATAACTTAGAAAAAAAAAATAATATTCTTGTTTGAAAAACTAGGAAATAAATTTATGGCGCAATGTGCAACTAAAACGCCCGATATGCAACTAAAAGTCCCTAGGAAACCACCTCAATAACCTTTGAGAATGTCAAGATCCAAAGAAAATCAATCATTGTGGAATTTTATGCATATATTTGCTATCATTAGTTTCACCATACAGACCTAGAGTGGGTTGTAGTCATGCACACAATGGTGACTGAATTGGTTACCAATCCGTTTTTGAATAGTTTGTGTATTCATCAGTCTTGAGATATGAATGAGCTTTTAATGAAAATATTCTTCCTCTTTCCATGAAATATGGTGCCGAAAGTCCTGCACCATGAGCACTCAGGAATTAACCAAAATTCTTTCCCAAGTTTCAAGAGAAACTTGAGACTAGCTCCTCCAAAGAAGGTTCCTAGTTAGAAGAATAGAAAAAAGAAATCTCTAAAGACACTTGAAGACAAGCCAAAACAGGTACAAGCAATTTATGTAAGTTCCACCAACTAAGCTTGATTTCTTCCAAATGTACCAAAATTGGTACATAAGGGGTTATATTTATGGTGTTTCCCTTCTCATCCACTCAATGTTCTAGTGGATGTGGGACTTTTTGGCCTCTCAATAAGTGATGGCCGAATAACCTCTCATAAGTCCCACATTCTTTTTTTTTTTTTTTATGGATTCCTAAGTGTTTATATAGCTTTATGTTTCTAATGGTTGCAAACAAGAATAGTAATGTAGACTTGAGCTTGTGCATAACCGAAACTATGCCTAATGAGAGTATTTTCAAATGTTTATATACCAATGGATTTCCTTTATGTGCAACCAATTGACGTGGTTAGGAGGAGTGGCCGTGGTTCAATCCTTGTGCCTTATGTGGCTGGTACTGTGGCTTGTATGGTTGGTTTGTTGGCTGGCCCCTAGTCTCATGTGGGTGGTACTATGGTTGGTCTGTGGTCTTAATCCTACGAAAAGAAAAGAAAAGAAACATATTTACAATCTTTTTACAAGGCTTAGGTATTAGGTTAGACTCCATATAGAAGGAGTGTTCTTGGGGCTGCCTTCTCCTCTTCAATACTCCTAGCCATTGCTTTGGTAAGTGGCCCAATGTGTGTCCATGGTCCTCTATCAACTCTGAACTAGAGCATCCAATTATGTACAACTTGAATGAAAGGTGAGGAGGAATTTGATGTACTAGTAGAACGAGCAATCGCTAGTAAATGACCTAGACGAATTAGGTATGATAACTATATGTCACCCAATGCTTCTGAGAAGTTATTTAAAAGAAGCTTACAACCTTGAGCTAATAACCCTGCCATAACAATATTACAGGACTTCTAATTAATAAAGACTAGATAAAGCGATGAGCATACTGTCAAAGCTACGAACACACAAAGAAAACATGCTCGAATGTAGGAGATATTCTAGAGGATCTCATCCAATCTAGAAGAAGAAGAAGAAGATAAAGTGGACATTAAAGCTTGCAAAGTAGTGCCCTAATAAGACTAACTTTGGCTTCATCCAAGTAATGATGGACTCCATGCTTCATATGCCTTTTCGTCATGACTTATCTGAATTTTTCTATGGTTTCTCTATGGGTTGGATGTCCAAACAAAGCCCAATTGAAGCCCCAAATTTAGCCCACATGTAATTTTACAAAAGTCCACAACAAATACAAGGAAGAAATATTCTAGTAGTCTATACTCTAAAGTAGGAGAATTTTCTTCTTTGAGGTTTCTTATTCTTCTATCTTCTTACCCATGAACATTGTCAAGGTCCCAGTGTGTTGTCTCACAAATGGCCCTTCATCAGACCCTCTCTTGAAAATCATATGTCCTTAAATCTAGATCCTTTTCATAATCAATAACCCCTACAAAAGGATATAAATCACAAATATTAAAAGTAGGAGTAACTTCTTACTAAGGTGATAAATCTAATCTATATTCATTGTCATTAATCTTTTGGAGTAATTAAATTGGATCATCTCCTCTTGGACTAAGTTTTGATTATGTCGAAGAGGGAAAACCTTGAGAAAGTCAAACTTGCTCTCCTTCATAAAAAACAAGTTCTTTCCTCCCTTTATTATTGTATTAAATGTTTAATAAAATTAATTGTAGGTTTAAATGTTAGTTTGGATATTTTGGTTGAGATATTTTAGGCAAGCATAAGGGATTATGATTTTTTTATCGGTTAATAGTAGTTAAGATTATGATTCTAGGTAGTTAAGATTAGGAAACTAGAAAGTCAAAATTTCTTTAAATACCCAGATGTATTATTTGATATTTATGATAGAGACAATAATATACAGATTACAAAAAAAATCTTTGTTAACCTTGATATGAAGAGCTAGTATTTAAGTGTTTGAGCATGAGAGAGCTTGAAGAGGGTGATGGCCAGTCTAATGAACAATGTGATGAAGATCATAGGGAGATCTTGGAAGACTTGGAAGATTTGATGAAGTCAAAAGAAAGATGATTTGTTACTGAAGTTTATAGTGTGTTTGCATTAACTATCATAGGCAAAAGCACTTATCATTTCTTCAAGCATGAGTTTCTCTCTTCAAAAGTTAAAGAAAAAGTGCCTCAAGAATTTTGAATCTATTAAAAATTGTTTTAATATGTTAAAAATTGTTTTAATATGTTAAAAATTGTTTTAATTTGTTAAAAACTGTTTTAATTTGTTAAAAATTGTTTTAACCTCGTTAAAAATTGTTTTAATATGTTAAAAATTGTTTTAATCCGTTAATTCGTTCTTCACTATGTTTTTTAACTGATATATTTTCAAATTAATATTTTAATTTTACTTAAACACTCAAAGAACTTTTTGGCTTACTTGTTTTAATTGATTAAGGAAGTTTTTAATATGTTAAAATGTTCTTGAGAGAGTTTTGGAAAACCTTGATTCATAATTTTAATTTATACATGACCAGGTGTTATTAGTTAAAACTTCTATGGAAAATTTCCAT